TTCTACTCCAGTCATTATTCCAGTGAAGTAACAACACTTTACGGGTTTAGGCTCCTCTACCCGCCCCGGCGCATCTATAATGCAGTGAGAGTCGAGCACGTGAGCGCTCTTCGGCTGCGGCTCTGATGACACAGTCACATTCCTCTTAATTGTTTTATAATGAGGTCCTGCAGTGGGAGCGGCCGGTCAACTCACGCCTGTTTCAACACACACACATACGCACACACCCCCACAGCGCTGAAGTGAGTGTTTCCACCTCAGCCCTGTAAAATTCCTGGACACTCACTAAAACCAGTGTACATAGTGTACATAGATGCCAGTTCAGCTACAGAACCTAATCTTCTTAGATACACGCTTAAAAATGATGGTTCTTCAGGGGTTCATTAGTAAAGAAAATGGTTCTATATAGAACCATGAACACTCAAAGGACCCTTAAGGGGTTCTTTGCATTGTGAAAGGGTTCTTCAGATTGATGGAGAACGTGTTTTATATGGTTCTACACTGCAAATAATAATATCTGAACAAGTGAAAACGAGTAAAAATGTCTAGAAATAAGTTAAATAATCTCACAATATTCTTACGACAGACTCATAATGAGGAATATTAGATTTATTGATGACATTTAAGATGTTTACACTCACTAAGACATAATTTTTTGCAGTGTATGTAGAACTTTCAGCACCAAAAAGAGTTCTCCTACTGTTACAAGCTTGTCATCGTGACAATACAAGAACACCTTTTGGTGCTATATAGAACCATATACAGCACATTCTCCATTAATCTGATTTAAGCACGCAAAAGGTTCTTTGAATGGTTTTATGTAGAACCATTTTCTTTATTAAAGAAGAACCATCGTTTTTAAGAGTGCAGTTATTGCATTGCAGTGCTGCCTACTGCCTAAACACCTTCTCTGCTAGAAAAGCCAGTATAGACTGACACTGGACACCAGTAAAACCAGCATACTGTAGCATTGGCACAGAGTAAGACACAGGGGAGGCCATGATTTCACCTTGAAAAGTGGTCTTTATTAAAAACAGCGACGCAAATCACACAGAGTGACTCTGCGGAGATTTTAGCCATGATTCAGTCAGTAATCCAGTTCAGAAAACCACCGTTCAGATCCTGCGTTTACCTCCATTTTAAATGCCCAGTTAAATCTCCATTTAAAAACCAGAGCAACGTATTCGGTATAAAAGTTCCCATTGTGTCTCAAACAGTCCTCAGATTGACTTGGACTCTGAGTTTAGTGCTAAAAAAGCAGAAATCTACAGCTAAATACACTTAAAAAACGAATCAAATGCAGTCACACCTACCTAGCTTAGCTGTGTCGCGTGTGCTGCTGAGGTGAGGGCGGAAAAAGGCGATAAAACTGCAGTGTCCCATTCAACACAATGAGTGCACTTTCCCTCTTTCCCTCAAAATCACACGAACAGGCCCTAAAACACACGTTAACGGATGAATAACAACAAATATGACAAATATTATCACAAAATTAATAATATCTAGCTCTGTCTTTCAGTTTACATTGATTTTGAGTATTAAAAATATCTGAAATTAACTATGCAACTCAATTTGTATTTGCTGTGTATCAGAGTTTTAGCACTGATCCTGAATCCAAGAGGACAGAAAATCAATAAAAAACATGTCCGTCTTATGCTAATTGTTTATTTTTGCTCATAATAACCACAGAATGAATCACCATCAAAATCACTGCACTTTCAGCTCACAGACACTCCAGACTAACAATTTCTGAAAAGATAACTACAACTGCAGTTGTTTTCAAGATCTCTAGAATTTAAAAATTACAAAATTTAGCAGGCGCTAGGTAAATTTTTGATCAGAAATGACCCAAATTCATAAAGATATCAAATTTCTGTTAGCATTTACATGTCAAACAATGGCATATCTGAGTAGCCCAGGGTCTCCTGAAAATAACAACATATGTCATGTGTGACTGTCTCATGTAAATACTTTATAACTGTAGTTGTAATTGACCCAAAATACCAAAAAAATCCCAAAAATTATAGTGTTCTAAGAGTTAAACACCAGGGCAGAAGGGCAAATACATGGCACTGAACTTGTGGGGGAGGTCACCACCACCTCACACACAACACAACATAAAAAGACTCAATAAACACATACCACAAGCCTTTAACTGACAAACAACATAAACAACACTTAAGTCTCTTATCTGGAGGGCATCTAGAGTCCCGCATCTAGAGCCCATGTGTCGAACACAAGGTCCACAGGCAAAGTCAGGCCCATTTCACAGTAAGCTGCACTACAACCCCCAGCATGCACTGCTACTTAATGTAAGCTCTGAAACCCCTCCCCCAACAACAATGTATGAGACAGCGGATACACCACAAAAAGGGAAGATGGCAGGTGTCTAGTTTAAGAAACCTCCTAAGTACATCTAAAGAGGTTTACAGGTTATCTGTAGCTAATGTAGCCTATTGTTTTATATAAACAATTTGCTTTATTTAAAATGATTTTTAAGTAGTTGAAGTATTCTTGTAATATTTCAGTGTCTGCTACAAGTTCCTATATCTGTTTTAGCACATTTTGAATAGACAGTGGCCAGTTTGGGTCGTATGAAAATGTTAAATAAAAGTGAAATGAAAGCAGATGTTCTCTGGCCCACAGATGTGTTGAAATTGTTTAGCATGGCCCTCTTAGTGGTTGAGTATGACTCCCCTGATCCCTGATCCCCAGGATGCTATAATATGTTGTGTTTTGGATGCTGGTATGCTGGTCAACCAGCATGACCATGCTGGGTGATCAGCATAAAACAGTGGAATGCATGGTGGTCTGTGCTGTGTTCTTCAGCAGGGCTGTTCCAGACAGTGGTCTCTATGTCGAGGGTGATCTGAACCAATCCAACCTATCCTTTGTGTACAAATGGTTGACTGGATAAGCAGTTTAAACTTCACATGAAATGCTAATGTATGAAAATGTTTGGATTCCAGGACGACACAGGAAAGTCCTGGATGGGTGCGCAGTGTGAATGAGTCATAACAGAGCTTCTCTGAACACCTCCAGCCGCTCCTGGCTGTGGATGGCTGTGGTATCACCAGGGATCGAGCTAACATGCTCCCAACGGTTGACGCCACTCGGGAGCCCCTAAAGAAGCTTCGGACACCAAGCATGCCTCAGCTGATTGACTGCATTTGTGATGAGGGGGAAAACTGTAAATTTGGGCTACTGCTTTAAGCTCATCCACACAAGCCTGGCTTAACGGGTGCACATAGAGCGCAAAATGAAAGACTTCCCAATCAGGAAGGTGCCTAGAATAATAATAAAACAACACCCTGCTGAATAAAACAAACTGAAACCATTAAGTGTTTCTGTTGCTTCCTCGTGGTTTTGTAATGTGTTTTGGCTTTTTGATGGGTTGATTTCACAGTGTAAAGGATCCTAATGGTTTAACAGGTGATCAGTGGGTGGTTCTAAATGAATCTGATGGTTTTCTAGTGGGATCTAAGCGTTCTACAGGAGGCCTCGGTGGGAAACAATTAGACTAAATCCCATTAGACAGCAAAATGGTTTTGTAATGTGTTTCCCTTTTTGGTGGGTTGATATTACAATGTAAAGCAGGGGTGTCAAACTCAACCACTCAAGAGGTCATATTAAAAAATCTGTGGGCCAGAGGAAAAAAAATTGGTTTCATTTTTAATTAATGTTGTGCTGTAACCCGAACCGGCCATCGTTTATTCAAAACAGGCAAAAAAAAATCAGCAGTAATATATAGACACTTGTAGTAGACCTTGAAATACAGGGTGACTAAAAAAGATTCATCTGATTGCAAAATGACCTTTTTCTTGGAACTGTTGGTACCAACGATGAATGCTCTGAGCTGTTGGAGGTTCACCGCCAGACTGACAGTCAGAAACTCTATGACCCCCTCTTACAGTTGGTATGTGATTGGTTCCTAGGTGCCTCACGGTTGTAAAAATATGGTGCTTTGAAATCAGATGAATCTTTTTGAATCACCCTATATTACATGAATACTTGAAATATTCAAAATGTAAATGTCCCCAGGAGCCTTTAAACCTGCCTATTTGCTTGAACTAGACCCCGACATCCTTTCTATGCTGCAAGTTCATTAAGACTTGGGTTTAATTTCTGAGCTGACGTTAAGTGTTTACATTGGTTGAACTGCAGCTGAAATGCAGCCAGTGTGTTTGGTGATATGACTGGTGTGGAATTGCATAGAATTGTGTAGAATTGAGGTGCAACTGGTGTCCCATAGACTGTTGTTGGGGTAGAAGAGTCAGAGCACACATTTCGTTGCAGTGCATGCTGGAGACTGTAGTGCAGCACATTGTGAAACGGGCTAATATTAATAGAAAATTAAAATACTTTCACTGGCCGGATAGGATTGTGTCACGGGCCTGATGTGGCCCACAGGCCTTGTGTTTGACATATGGGATTGTATGCTTTAACAGGTAACTAATGGCTGATTCTAAAGACATTTGATGGTTTCCTAAAGGGATCTAAAGGTGTTCTACAGGAGGTCTCTATTGAAAACCTTTAGGCCAAATCACATGACAAAGCAAAACCATCAGCAAACCAATGGTTTCCAAAGGTGCTTTTTCAGCAGGGCATTGTCAAGGAGGTTCCTTATCTGCGGTGTAGATGGAATCTGAAAAATTCAGCGTTCACATGGATAGAGGAAGTCCTCACCCCAGTCTTTTAGGCGTGTTGCTAAAGAATTCTGACTGTATAATCCATAATCCACCCTTCCTTAACTGTTCCTATACACGCCTACAGGGAGTAGCTGAAAGTGTGGTGTGGTTAGAGTGGAGCCATTAGGCACTAGGAAGCCTCCATTGAAATATGAGCCCAGGAATGTTCCTCACAGCTATTCGGTTACGATTACTCATCTTTCCTCAGAACAGGTTTTAGTCTGACGTGTGCGAGAGATAAAGAGGCTGAGAAATGGACGTGACAGATAAAGTAAACAGGACAAAAGAAAGACATTCTTTTAAGAGACGATGTTCTATATATTAATACCTTTATTTCTCTTTCACGTATGTGAAATGTTCCAGAACGTTCACATCTTTTACGCAGCATCGAGAGCTCAACCCTTGGTTAATATACAAAGCTTTCTGGAATGAACAGTATAACTTCAATGAAATGCTGAAAGTCTTTGGCATCAGGTCCTTGGCACTACATTCCATTAACATAAAGGCTTTATTTCTTACAAAATATATTAATAATTTTACTTCGAAACACAGTAAATGTAAACAAAAAAAAAAAACGAAACAAAACAGAAGCAAATAGTATGTAGCTTAACATGTTTGTCCATAGAGCACACTGACCAGCAGATGCACTGTAGGAGAAAATGCACGTTCAAAGATAAAATAAAGGATAAAATTAAGAGCGGCAAAATAATTTATAATACAATTCCACCCGCTTGTGCTAAACATCGTCTGGTGAGTCTTCACAGAAAGAGTGTAACAGAGAACACTGCTTCATTTTCCCCGCCTTCCAGGGGGGGAAAGACAAGAATGTTCACCATTTATAACATGCAGTTCAGGTGGAGCTGTAAAACCGCACAGACCAATCTGAGCCTCCGGGAGAAAATTCAATAGAATAGGAATGTGGTGAGATCAACTGTGCCGTGGTGAGAGAAGGAACAAAGGACTGTAAACCCAGTTTAGGCATGAGGCACTTTTCAACAAGGGATTTCACGGAAAGGCAGCAAAACGGTCCAAAATAGGGCTGCAACTAACTGTTACTTCTATAGTCGGTTAAGCGACCATCGATTATTCAATTAATTGACTAAATGACCACTATATGTTCTTTGGTTCCTCTCGAATTAGCTTTTAACTGAAACAGCAGAAGCTGTATCGCCCCCTGCACTTCCTGTAGTGTATTACAGTCTGTCAGAGTGACTGTGTGGATCATATGAACATTATAGAGGCTTTTTAAATGAAACAGTAGAAGCCATGTCGCCCCCTACACTTCCTGTAGTGTATTACAGTCTGTCAGAATGACTGTGTGGATCGTATGAACATTATAAAGTATTATAGCCTTGATCTGCTTTGTTGATTAACTGTTGCAGCCCTGGTCCAAACAGCCTTACCATATTATATACATGGACTGTTGGAGTCCCTCGTCCTTAGAAACACCATTAATATAGTAAAGACGTTGGCATGTGGCAGCATACCAAAATAAGCACTGTGAAGTAGTGAGAATTTCGCTGTTACAGTCTGTGTATAATTTGCGATTAATTTATTTGCCTGCACTCTTTTGCTCTGGTCACATTCTGATTCATTACTCTACCAGTCTTACACTGTCCTGCAACATTATGTTTGTTGGGTTCTGAGCCTAGTTTTGCACTACTGTGTACTGCACCGTACTGTACGGCACTGTCTTTCGAGTTGGAGTTCTTTTTGACTCTTGAGGATTTCTCAGCATCCCGTCCAACTCACAAACCGCTCTACTGCACGAGTACCCCGAAGAATTTGCATACAAAAAACGCCAAAGACCCGAAGACCAGCTTGAGCTTCACATTCATTTAGAGAGCTGTCCACAAAAGCTCAGCTTTGGGTCCTCCAGGCAGCTCCGTCATCCAAAACTGCTGCATTCCTGCCCTTCTCTGGAGGGATCAGCTGCCATGTCTGTGGCTCCATTGTCTCTACAAAGTCTTGATCATGCAAGGAAGACTGACGGAACTCATATGAAGATTTCCACTGCCTCAGCCTCCACGCTGTCCAGGCCTTTGAAAGGGTTGAGAGGCGGTGGGGTCTGTTGCTGAATGGAATCTATAAAAAAAAATTAAAAACACTATTTAATTCACTAACTTGACACTAAACGCCACTGATTATAACAAGCATTAGGCTGCTAACGTTAGTCACTGATTGACCGGAATACTTCAGTTTAATGATTAAGGTCATTTTCTATTCATCATTTATTACTGTGCACTCATTAGTCATTTTCTTCATTCATGATTCTGGTTGGGTTTGTTGAGTTATTGTGATTTTTATTGTGTAACTGTTTTGCTATCTGACGTTGACCAGAGGAGGATGAGTTCCCCTTCTGAGTTTTGGTTCCTCTCAAGGTTTCCTCTTGTTTTTCAGGAGGTTTTCCCTGTTAATATAGTCTCTGACGACAACTGGAATTGTTAGTCCCGCTCCCGCCCGCAACTGAAACGTTTTATCCCGCCCCCACCCACGCAGTTTAGTCATGGCGAACTGACATCCAATATCTGACAGTCTTTTCACAAATACATTATTCTCTGCTGAAATAACATGGCAATCATGGTCATCAGGCTCACTGAGAAGTAACTTCACCAAACGACATTTATTCCCAGTAAACACAAAGCAGGAATTAAACCAAGAAGTTAATTTTGGTGTTTTGCTGGGCAGCTGTGTCCGTCGGACTGAAGGCTCCGCCGCCTCTGCAAACTACGAGAATTTGCTTGTTGTTCACGTGATCAGTTTCTTTGTGATTTAGTGATCGTTCTACTTTATTTAGGCTATTCATTAATTTGCAGGATTTCTCTTCATGTGTGCTTCGGCCCGTTCCCACCTGCAGCGGGCTGGTTTCCCACCTGCTCCAGTGCGTAACATTGAAAATTAGTCCTGCGATGCGAGATATTGTAGTGGGTCCTGGATTTCACTGGATAGATTTGCCACAAGCAAGAGTACACCCCCTCTAAAACCTGCCCCCCTCTGGTCGGTGCTCTTTTAACACCTGGAGCACAATCGATAATGCACGCAAAACAAGCTTGCTAGCGAAACGCTAATGTTTGCTAACAGTTTGCAAGAGGTTATGTTGATTTTTACTACATCTAATGTGTTCACTTACAAGTTTGAGCTTTTGGGGGCGGGGGGTGTGTCTTAGCCATGCTACCTTGCATTAAAACTATGGGCTAATGACAGGCTTGCTGATGAGCACACCATCGCCCCCTGCTTGGAGCTCTGTCTTCACAAAGTGCTGGATATTTTTTCCCACCCTAATATATCTATGTCCCCCCACATTTGGCCCAAAATTGGTTGTTCCCAGACCTTCTTGTTACGAGATCATGTTTGGCCCCGCGAGACTAGCTTTGTGACAACCCCTGTGGTAAAAAGCGCTACACAAATAAATTTTAACTGAGTTCCATTCAGCCAAGCGCCTAATATGACACTGGAGTAAATCAATGACCACTGGAGTGCCTCCGTGACTGAAAGGCTAATCAATATAAACTCTGGAAAACTCTGCGCTGTATCCACTTTAAAGGCTTGGAAACTCTGTATTGCACTCAGTGTAATGATCCATGGAGAGTTCACGCTAATTGTGCCCCCCCCGTCCATTGTGGTGTTGTGCAAAGGCAACAGACATGTGGCACATCCTGTGCGTACTGACCGTGACTGGGCTCTGTGCTGGAGTTCTGCTCTGTGGCTGTGGTCAAAGCTGCAGGCTCAGCCCGGCTCCTGGCCTTACACACTACAGCCGCAACACGGCAAAGGCGGGACACGCCAGCTGTCTGCCCGTCTGCATGACTCTTCCCTGGAGCAAAGTAAACACAAAAACACTGATTATCACAATGCTCACTACTTCAGTGTAGCTTGACAAACAACATTAGCTGGGCTAACAATACTGAGGACCAGCTATGACAATAACAAACAATGATCTTATTTACATTATCCTAACTGGCCCCTACTGCCTTTAATCCATTATGAGCAACATTAGTATCCTGTGGTATTCCTTAAATGTGATTCTGAGCCTGGAACCAACTGGTCCTTATTGCCGTTCACTGAAGGAAGTACCTCGAACGGCCTTCAGCTATTGCAGTGGTTTAATGAGCAAATCTGGATGCTACTAATCTAAAGTTCGTATTTGAGTGATTACCTGTGTTCTGGGCAGGGCTTGTGTTAGACGAGGGGGTGGGGCTTACAGTGGACACACCCTCTTCCACCTCACCCTTCTCTTGGTCCTGCTGGAGTCGCTGCTGGAGAACGTTAATCACAGCGTCCTTCTCCAGGATCTGCCCGTATAAAGTACGGATCCTACAGAAACACACAGAAATGTTCACGCTTACGTAGCAAACTCACCAGCAAAACACAGTGAATATACACTATTTACACAGTTGGGAAAAAAAACTGTGTCTGAAAAATGGTCAAAATTGAGTTTGTACTGCTTTGAATATAACTGGAATTAATTATAATCAATTCCAACATTCCAAAATCGATGCAGCTGAATCGGCACCCGGAGATCAGTGCATTTTTTTAGCAATGGTCGTCAGTTTGACGGAGTTCATACCTGTTCTCCACCTCCTGGTTCCTGAGCTCAGCGTGGGGCAAATCCTCACTGAAACTGTTCTTGGTTGAATGGCAGGGCGAGTGGTTGATGATGGTGGTGTCTCTGCAAAAACACAAGTGTCTCAACTCAATATGTTGCAAATATACTCAAGGTCAATTTTCTTCTGTATGTAATATATCGCCGCAGTCGGAACCAAACATCGTATCTCCATTTTTGTCGTTTTTCAGTTTTTGACATAAATCGAAAATGCCTGTTACTCTTTACATTGTATGTAAATTTCATGATGAATAGACCAAAAGAAACGACCCAAAATGACTTGGAAAAAAGTCTGGTTCCACTGACTTACATTAAAAGTAAAGTAGGTTTTTTCCTTCTCCTCTAAGTTAGCATTTTAGTGATACAAGGTTTTGTTCCGACAGCAGCGATATGAAACATCTCTGTAGTCAAGTGTATAGTATCTACCTCTGGGCAGCAGCAGTGGCCGCTGCGTCCATGGCGAACTCCCTCATGGTGCTCTCCTCCAGGTATTTCTGCTCCCAGCGCATCATGTCGGCCTCCAGGGCCAAAATCCGTTCTTCGCGCTCCCTCAGACGCTCCAGCAGGGCGGCGACATTCACCGAGGACGCTGGATCGCTGGTCAGACATGCCTGGGTCTGCCTCTAAGGAGGACAAACAGAAAAATAAAGACATATGAGTAAGAATATTGTATGTCCTGCTTCACATCCTTGTTGGTTAGTCCCTTAGAAATGATAATCCCAAAGGCTTTGTAGTCAGAAACGTATTTATAGCCTTTCAGCTTTAGCATCTTCCTTTTAGAATTTTTTGCATTGCTTTGGTATCTTCCCAACAAACATAATGGTGCATGACACAACCACTGGTTATAGATATAAACAGATGGCACAGTAACAAAAACAGCCTTTTTAAGACTGATGTACGTAAATAAACTAGGATCTGATTGGTTTCTGAAACGCTCTGTATAACTTTAGCCTGAATGGGTGGAGCTTATTAACAGCTGTAGACTGAATAGGTGGAAATATGTTGGTTTTCATGACATCACAGAAACAATGAATTCAAAACAGGCTGTTTTTGCAGTTTAGTTTCCATATGCGGACTGGGGACGGTATGTTCTGAAACTTTAGCCAAGTCTTATATTCGAAAAAACTGAGCCCTTCAAATGAGCTGCTTTTAATGGCAACACTTCTCTTAAGGTGATCTAAGAGTAAGCAGTCCATCACACTGAAACTACTCAATCACTGTAGCATCTCACAGGAAGAACCACACAGCTAACAACAGTGTGAGAGTGTGCCATTTCACAACAGATTCGTTACAGGACTGGATCAAATCCCCCTGATTTCTGCTGATATCTGTTGCATACCGATACCCATCAATACTGACATGCAATCACTAAAAATAAATATTTATGAACCACTGAAACCGTTCTTTCAGCAACAAGTCAGAAACTCGAAACTCTTTCCGAAGATTCCACGTTTAATTATGTGATTACGAACTTTAGGTCGGTAACTCGTATGTATAATGCTGGTAGTAATGCGTCTGTCTGTACCTGCTGGTTTCTGAGTGTGCGCAGCTCCTGCTCCAGTCGCGTTCGTAGCCTCAGCTCTAGCCCCTCCCTCTTTTCGCAGGTGGCCTGTAGCTGAGCCAGCGCCCCCTGCAGGCGCTCCACATGCTCCACATACGCGCTCTTCCTCTGCAGCTCCGCCTGCAGCTGCCAACTGTGCGCGTGCGCCGAGCTCAAGTCTCGCTCCAGCGCTTCGGCTCGCTGCCGCTGAGCGTCCACGTCGCGCTCCAACCGCACGCACTGCAGCTTCTGCTCCTCGACTGAGGGAGAGAGAGGGGGAGAAACCAATTAGAGAAATCAATAGACAAGTCTGAGCACATGGGAAATGCTATTAGAGCAACAGTTTGGAAAAAAATTAAGTTATGCAATTTCCCCTTCACCCCAAATGTAGCCGAGCAGCGGCGTAACTAGGATCTTATGGGCCTTTTTAAGATTTTAGAGTTATAAATAATGACTATATCATGTTGCAGGTTGTGAAGAATCAGTTTGGAAATGGTTATAATGGATGGATGAGCTGAATAGAATAAGAGGGAGATAAACAGATGTCAGTTCTGTCTTTGTAGTGTTGATGGAAGCTAATTGCTGAGGTAGGCTGCTATGAAATTGGATCTTCATGTGAGTTATGGGTGTACAATCAGTATCAATATGAGGAGTCCATTAAAATTTTTAGGGGTCCTGGTAACTGTGGACCCTCAATGGGCCCCAATGAAACAGTGGAAGCCATATCGCCCCCTACACTTCCTGTAGTGTATTACAGTCTCTCAGAATGACTGTGTGGATCATATGAACATTATAGAGGCTTTTTAAATGAAACAGTAGAAACCATATCGCCCCCTACGCTTCCTGTAGAGTATTACAGTCTGTCAGAGTGACTGTGTGGATCATATGAACATTTTTAATGAAACGGTAGAAGCCATATCGCCCCCTACACTTCTGTAGTGTATTACAGTCTGTCAGGACTGTGGATCATATGAACATAGGCTTTTAAATGAAACAGTAGAAGCCATATCGCCCCCTACGCTTCCTGTAGTGTATTACAGTCTGTCAGAATGACTGTGTGGATCATATGAACATTATAGAGCTTTTTAAATGAAACGGTAGAAGCCATATCGCCCCCTACACTTCCTGTAGTGTATTACAGTCTGTCAGAGTGACCGTGTGGATCATATGAACATTATAGAGGCTTTTTAAATGAAACAGTAGAAGCCATATCGCCCCCTACACTTCCTGTAGTGTATTACAGTCTGTCAGAATGACTGTGTGGATCATATGAACATTATAGAGGCTTTATAAATGAAACAGTAGAAGCCATATCGCCCCCTACGCTTCCTGTAGTGTATTACAGTCTGTCAGAACGACTGTGTGGATCATATGAACATTATAGAGGCTTTATAAATGAAACAGTAGAAGCCATATCGCCCCCTACACTTCCTGTAGTGTATTACAGTCTGTCTGAATGACTGTGTGGATAATAGGAGTATTATAGAGCTTTGTTTTTAATGTAAACAGTGCAGTAACAACAAAAACAATGTTGACATTTCTCGTAATCACTGTAATAACCTATTCATTGTAGCCCTACAATAGATTACTGAGGCATTTCCTTGGCAGTAAGAAAAGCTATTTGCTGTGTTTGTGTTTTGATCTCTTGCCATGGCTGTTTCCCACTGACTTCTTTCTCAGAGGCGAAGAATTTGATTGCAAAATCCTGAATGCCCCATTTACGCAAGAGCCTGAGGAATGCGAAGGGACAGAGGAGAGGAAAAGAAACGGGGCGAGTCACCCTCCCTCTGACCCACATCCTCAAAGCCTAGCATTCCTTCATCTGTTTCCCACCGTCAACCCAAATCTCCCCCGAAGAGTCACCGCTACACAGGGGAAAGACGGGTGCAGCAGAACAAGGCCTGATCTGTTCGCTACAGATGAGCCCAAAGGGTCGCCGGACAGTGGTGGACTGTCCCTCTGCATTCTTCTTCTAGACAAAAGGTCATGCATGGTGTCTGATGCTCTCTCTGACCATGATCTGTTATGTGACTCAGATTCCTGAGTTAAAGAGTACAAACATGCTTCCTGTTTCAGTCAAGTGACTCAACAAAAAAGCAGCTCCACAGAGAGGTCAGGAATTCTTCCAGACAGTATAGAGGTCAGCCTAAAACTCTTACAACACACCGTTATCTATAAAAATGGACAACAGTGCACTGCAAAGCTAAAAAAAAGCAGTAGTGGTCATCTTGTAGCCCATACTTTTGTCCATGTTTATAGATTCCAGTATGTCCCACAGTGTCAGAAGCCACAAGTCTGTTATAGATTACTTAAAACGTGACTGTTTGCACGATGCTAATTGGTGGGGTATAAGCTTCCATTACTTGTTAGCTACATTAGCCTCATAGCTCCAGTGCTAAAACTAAAGAAGCATCAAACAGGTCTGATTGACCAGATTTGGAAAAAGTGTAGATGAACCCTTTAGTTGCCATATGAAGGCTACAGCAGAGAGCTAATAGCAGGTTTTACAGTGATCTGGCTGTGTGTTTGTGCTGTATTTCTGGGTTGTGTGATGTTAGAGCTGGTTTCTCTCACTCTGGCAAGTGACGGCAGGTTCCTCTGAGTGCTCTGATGTAATTATGTCACTATTTTTAACCCTTTGCTTATAATATGAAAAAGCAGAGGTGTGGTATAACAGTAGCGAGTGGGGTTTGGGTGATTTTGGAGCTGGATTGCTGGCTGATGGATGGTCACGGGTGGATGAAATCACTCTAGATGGTGAGGACAGAGTCTGATGATGATCTGATGTGTGAATCATGGTACTGTTTTAACCCTTTTTGGAATATGAGAGACAAAAACAGAGCAATAATATCAGGATTTTGGGTGATTTTCCAAGCCAAATTACTCATGGATGCTGACGTCACACTCGATGATGCCACACTAGCTAGTTAGGGGTGGGTCTGCTGAATGGTCTGATATGTGTAACATGTCTATAGCTTGAACCATTCTGAAGTTATGAAGGCTAGAATTGACCCACGCTTTTGCCAGCAAGTTTAACTGCAATGTACGCTATGCTGAATTAAACTGTCTCAGATCTGCTCTGTATGAGTTAAAGGGCATTCTGGCCTTTTGTAGTTCTTTCCTTCCACATCATCATGAGGCACTCCCACTCTAGAGACCACCATGAGCGATTTTTCATTTTGGTTGTAGTGCCCTGTTTATTCAGCACTGGTGACGTTATGACGTAAAATGAGCATGAAACTGCTGTTGTAGAATCAGTACTCACTCTGCATGAGGAGCTTGGTCATGACATGCTGGTTGTGGTCAGCAGCTTCCACGTCTTTCGCTGCCCGAGCGCTGGTGTTCTCCAGGCTGTCTGTAACAGTGAATCGAACACCACACATAAAAAATTACTTATGCAACAAAGTTTTTCAGACAGGTCTTCAGTCCATAAGAAGATCACTAAGATCACTAAGATCCTGGTCCTGGAGTAAACCCTGACTCGCACATTTTAGTATTTAACCTGGGTGGGTGAATTAAGAGCCCTACAATCACTGCAGAAATAATATCTTAGTGAGTGTAAGACATCATTTTTAAATGTATTGTGAAATTATTTAACTTACTTTTAGACATTTTTACTTGTTTTTAAGCAGTTTTATCTTATAAAAGTGTCTTATTTCATTGTCAGATCATGTTCCTTGTTTTAATCATTATTTCTTGAAATGAGCAAAATTATCTTCATTATTTCTCAAAACAAGTAAACTAATCTGCCAATGGAATAAGACACTTTCACCAGATAAAATCACTTAAAACAAGTAAAAATGTACAGAAACAGGTGGAATAATCTTATAATATTCTTACAACAGTCTCATAATGAGGAATATTAGATTTATTGACTACATTTAGGATGTTTACACTAATTAAGATATTATTTTTGGCACGGATGTGCAGAGTCGGCGTACCCACAGACCAGAACTGGGAAACACCAACCTAAACTATTCTGCAGAACAGACTCTGCCAGATTTTAAAGCAACAGTATGGTGAAAAATCTAATATATACAATTTTCCACCTTACTTTGAATGTAGTTTATTAGCCAAGAAATATAGTAGAGTTTTGGGCCGATTCTGGCTTTGAGATGCGAGTGTTGGTTGGCTACCAGGCAGATGTTAGGCCTGCAGGCCAGAACAGGGCCAGACACTGGACAACTCCATATGGTTTTGCCTTGTGTCTGGAACTCTGGACCAATTCTGATGTGGACCAGCAATGTAGTTGGGCCAGATTTGGGTCACATCCATTAAGTTTATAGTGTGTGGGCCAGATCTGGGCCAAGGACCTGGACATATACTGGGTCCAAACAAAAACAAGGCTGTGTCCCACAAGTGGGTCAGACAAATTTTGCTAATTGGGTTAAGTTTTACTCTGTAGCTACGATGCTAATGTAGCTAACAAGTAATAAAAGCTTATACGCCACCAACTACCACCAGGTCTGAATCATACCAACTGTGTGGAGCTGCTATCTTAAATACACTTGCTTATGTGGTTGAATCTGTCTGCACTTTTGTCCATGTCTATGAATAACAGCAATTAGCATGATGCTAACTGGTGGGGTTTAGGCGTCCTTGTTATTAGGAGAGGGGAAAACTCTGCACATTTGGGACTGCGCTGAATTATGGCTGTACCTCTGAGCTCAGTGTTGAGTTCCTGCAGTCTCTTAACCTCGGCCATCAGCTTGTTCCTGAGCGTCTGCTCCAGAGCCTCTCTCTTCACACAGCCCTGCATCAGCGTCTCATACGCCTCAGAAATCCGCTGGATCTCCTGCTCCAGCTGACACACAGAAAGAACAAACCGCGTTAACAGTATGCGCTGAGAGTGACAGACGCCTGGCGGAGTTCCTCCTCCTCCTCCTCCTCCTCCTCCACACCTGCGCAGGGAACCTGGTTTCTCGTATGGAAACCATGAGACGCTGTGATTCAACTCAGCGAGTTTACACAAGGCAGTGTCTCGGTCCTCCGCAATTATCATTCCTTCAGAGTGAGAGAACGCTGAGCTACGCTGACGTAACCCTCTGGAACGGGTTTATAACCGCTTTCAGCTGAGCCGACGTTAAATACACCACTGCAGAACAATTCAGCTAAAACTGCCCGGCTGTCGGTCAGATGGAGGTATTCAAGTGACCTCACCACTTTAAACAGTTTAACCTTCAACTAAAACTGGTTTGCATGAATGTGCTGAATGAATGAACATCATAACAATAATAATAATAATAATAATAATAGTAAGAAGATTTATTTATTTAATTGTTTATACTGTTTATCCATATTTTACCACTTTAACCACTTTAATCCTAAACTTAAAAAAGTGCTGTATGAATGAATTTAATAATAATAATATTTAGAAAAGATTATAAGAATAAGAAGAAGAACAACAACATTATTATTATTACTTTTTTGTTTATTTAGCTTCCATAATTTACCACTTATACTTTTAACTAAACCTTTTAATTTTACTTTTAACTTCCTACTAATAGTAATAATAATAGTGATAATAAATCATTATTATCATCAGCATTTTATTCATTTCATCACTTCAATACTTTGTAACTTTATTTCTCTATAAGGACGACTGAAAATGTGCAGTTTATGTGTAAGAAAACATATAAAATCTCATATTATATGATGTTACAGGTTGCATATCAAATCTCTGCTGAGAAATGGATCATATTGCATTGTTTCCTTGCACATCTGGTACAGCACAAATAAAAGTTCACCACATGTGTTTGCCAGTTTGTCCAGATCCTTAATTTAATCCTAATCATATCATCTGTACACTCGTAAAAATATAGGCTCCTAAAGGGCTTGGAAGTCAATCATTGGTATGGAGCTTCTACATTATGTGGAGGTTCACATCTCATTTCAAATACTTCTTCATAGAATCATCTATTGAAAGGTTCTTTAGGGCAGTAGAATAGGTTCTCGTGGCCTGGCCGGCCTCTCACTCCCTCTTTTACTGGGTAAAGGCTGAGAAACTGCTTAACCTGTTATGTGAACTGTGCGTTATCGTTCTGATGGAGCTGCCTGACTAAAGTGGAAAACACCTTTACCTTCTGAATCCTGGCTGCTTTCTCCACATGACCCTCCAGCTCCTGCCTCAGTCTCTCATTCTCCTTCATCAGCAGCTCCGTCTGGTTGCAGCCGAGTGTCAATACCTCCCTGCCTGCAGGGGGCGCACTGGAGAACACATGGCGCACTTCAGGCGACTGCACTGGTGGAACGAGCCTAAATGAAAAGACAAGATTATTAGTTATACAAGTTTCTGCTACTAAAAAAGCACAATTCTTAACTGTCTTCATGATTTAACTGCCAAGGTATTCACTCATTCACCCCCAGCTACTCACTCATTCACCCGCAGCTACTCACTCATTCACCCCCAGCTACTCACTCATTCACTCCCACTGTCTGCCCACTATTTAGTCACAATGAGGCATTACGTCAAAGCAGGAGTGAATATTTCAGTGACTAACCAGTCTGACAATCCTGAGAGCTTTAGGGAATATTATAGCGAAAAGTCACGTTTAAACCTTCAAGGTGTTGGAAAAGACAGATAACAGTATGTCATACAGTGGACCACTTGAAGGGGAATTCCACCTATGTTTTAAAATTTCTGAATAATTAAACCATCCAGAGATAAACAAAGTCATTCAGAGTGATTTGATACAAAATGCTTCACTGGTGGTTTTGGATGGTAAATAAACTGTCTATATTTGTGTTGTAGTCATGGCGACCCCTGGTTCCTATCACCACCACTGTAAAGACATCTGAACCGTTTCACACCAAACCACTCTGAATCCCTCTGTTTACATCTCAAACACTGAACTATGCAGAAAGTTTGGTAGAATTCACCGTTAAGCAAGTCAATTCGAGATAACTTGCATGGTTTGAGGTAGCTGATGCTAATTGGCACCACAAGCTTCCTAAACAGTCTTCAGACACATCTTGGCTGACTGACGACATTTAAATTAAGGAGAAAAGGGTTTAAATCAGATATTCTGCCGAGCTGTTGTATCCTGTACCTGTTGTGCTGGCTGTGGAAAGCTGGTGGAGGTGCAGTGTAGAAATGCTCATACTCCTGCGTGGGGTTTAGCGTTGCCGCTTGTGTCTGAAGGTGAAGCGGATACTTGTGCCAAGGGCCGTGCTTATCCTTAGATCCCTGCGCTAAGTGCTGGCCGGCGTGGTAGCCGGCTATCTGCGGGTAGCTACTGGAGGAGCTGATGGGGGCTGGGGAGGCCTCCGCAGCCTTGCGCTGGAGCGACAGCTGCATCAGCCGTTCGCTGAGTGACCTAGCATGGCCACGCTTGCCATCCCACCTCTCGTCTTCATAGGGCTGCATGCCGCTCAGGCTGTTCTCCAGCAAGTAGTCTTTGCTAGCCTGTCCATTGTGGTACCACTGAGACGCCAGATACTGCGAGTGCACCTTGGCTTGCTCGTACGTGGGGAGCTGCTCGTGGTGGTGGGAGTAAAGCTGGTAGCTTTCAGAGTGCTGGTAATCAGCCTGGTGCTCCTGGCCCTGGGGCTCCTGCCTGGCAGAGAGCTTCGGGGACTGAGGCTCCTCCTGGGAGAGGCTTTCTGAGGAAGACTGAGAAGATCCAGTGCCTCCGCTGCCTCCTCCTCTCCGCAGGGCCTGCTGCTGGATGGCCAGGAGGGTGCGAGCGTCTGTGGGGTTTCCATAGCGAAGCTGCTCCTGGATCAGTCGGTGCAGGACCGTGCCTGAAGCCTCTTCGGTTCTCATTTTGCTATAGTACTCGGTGGGTGACTTCAGACCTGACTGGACAGAAAGATGGAGAAGTAAATGGACAACAGCTCAGACTGAAAGGGAGGAAACTGGACAGCTCAAGTGTAAACAGACTGGTATGTTCCAGCACAGGATCTTAGATCTGCAGATACTGGCCTTCTGCAAATACCTTCTGTAAAATATAGAAAAGGTGGAGAGGCATATTTCGGTTATTATGCTTCTAAACTGTGGAAGTTAAATCACTTTTTATTAGACAGGCTCAGTGCAGACTTTAATTTAGAGTTTAATTAAAATTCTACATCTTTTTTGGTGTTTATATTTTCAATTTAATGTCATTTTTTTAATACAAATTTACATTAATACTTTAAAACATTATTGACATGTCTGTAAAGCACTCTGAGCTGCCACCACCATGATTATTATTATTCTTATTATATGGAAACATGTACTGAACATCTTAAAAGGTATATAAACAATGTAAACAAACTAATGTGAACACATATATGAGCAAAGAATGGATGTGAGTCATAAGGAATGTAAACAGACTGATCAACAAACTGCCAGATGTTCATTTTTTATCTGATATCTGATTCCAGATGCCTTCAAAACCAATCAATCAATATCAGCATTAAGATAACTCTTGATGTAGAATAGATCACATCAAACTTAAGGTGACAAATGGGTCAAATCTCTCAAATCTCCTCATGCACGACGCTTAATTTGGCTCATTATTCGAATTCCCCGTTCCACCTTAAATGGTGCAGAAGTTACATGCAACTGCAGCAGCATTTAAGGTGGAACGGAAACTCTGAACAAGAAGCTGGAGAACAGGAAGCCAACTTCACTGAAATTTGTCATCTGAGTCCACAACAAGTAGAACTTGAACCCAAATCGAGAAATCCTTGAATCGAACCTTCTGTTCTTAATGCTGATTCAGATTAAAGACGAGCGACGCTGACGCTACAGAGCAGCCGGGCTATTAGAGGAGATGTAAACACTAAAGTGAGTTTATTATGGAAACGGATTAACTTACCAGCTTTATTCTTTCGGTTTAGTCCGAAGTTGTTGCTCTTTGTGTCTGTTGATGTCAGCAGTCCAGCTCCTGTCTGTGAATGTGGTTTTATTTCATTTTTCTCTCCTCCGCTCCTCTCCGTTCTGTCTGCGCCGCTCGACGGCTTCAGCTCGACTGAGAGCCGCGTGAGCGAGTCGTTTCTTTTGAGCCGCTTCATTTCTGAGTGAATCAGACGAACCGATTCCCAAGTCCATATGAATCACTCTTAAAAAAGTGGTTCTGCAAGGGTTCTTTAGTAAAGGGAATGGTTCTGTTCAGAGCCATGAGTTCTATATAGAACATTTTTTATGCTTAAATGGTTCTTTGCATGGTAAACTGGTTCTTCAGACTGATGAAAAATGTGTTGACACCTTTTTGAAAATGGTTCTGTGTAGCACCAAAAAGGGTTCTGCTGTTGTTACAAGAGAAGAACCCTTTTTGGTGCTACACAGAATCATTTTCAAAAAGGTGCTGTATGGCACCAAATGTGTGCACACACTTCAAAATGGTTCTTAAAGGGTTCGTTAGTGAGGACAGTGGTTCTATTTAGAACCATGAACACTCAAAGAACCATTTGCATGCTTAAATGGCTCTTTGCATGGTGAAATGGTTCTTCAGAACGATGCAAAATATTTTGTATATGGTGCTTTTTAGAACCTTTCTGAAAATGGTTCTATGTAGCACGAAAACAGTTCTTCCGTTATTACAAGTTTGACATTGTCGCAATAGAAGAACACTTTTTGGTGTTGTACAGAACCCTTTTCAAAAAGGTTCTATATAGAACCTACAACGCATTTTCCATCAGTCTGAAGAACCATTTCACCATGCAAAGGACCATTTAAGCATGAAATGGTTCTATATAGAGCTCACGGTTCTAAATAAGAGCCGTTGTCTTTACTAAAGAACCTTAATGAACCATCTTTTTTAAGTGTGTTCTTAGTTTGTAATATGACGCCCGTTTTATTGACCAAATTAATAATAATTTAAGCAGATTAAAGAACCTTTTTTACGTTTTTACATACGGAGATGGATATGAAACTGACTCGGCTCAATGATTTAACCGAACAGGTGAATCGGACGCTCGACTCATTGCATCGATTCAGTCAACTGAATCCAACCTCCCACAGTCGGACGCGGCTGAAACTGGAATGTGTGGAATGGAATGTGCGCGCGCCCCCGAGATCAAAAGAGGAGGGGTGAGGGGGAGGGAAAGGGGGAGGGGTTTACTACCACCAGTATTTCCGCCAGTATTTCCTTTATTTACTTCATTACTTTACTTATTTACGTTTACTTAAAGCAGAAAGTCTTGTTTTTAAGGAGGAACGTTGAGTTCCTGGTTTTGGTTTTATTGTTGTTTATCATGCTGAATAAAATCATGTTGTTTTATTACCTTTTTATCTACACTCTTAAAAACATGGTTCTTCAAGGGTTCTTTAGTAGAGAAAATGGTTCTATATAGAACCATGAACACTCAAAGAACCCTTTGCGTGGTTAAAGGGTTCTTTGCATCATGAAATGGTTCTTCAGATTGTTGGGGAATGTGCTATGGATGGTTCTATATAGAACATTTTTGAAAAAGGTTCTATATAGCACCAAAAGGGTTCTTCTATTGTTACGTTATCAGGCTTGTTACATATGAAGAACCCTTTTGAGTGCTAGGTAGAACCCTTTTTAAAAAGGTTCTATACAGAACCATCTGCAACACATTCTCCATTATTCTGAAGAACGCTTTCATGATGCTAAGAACAATTTAAGCATGCAAAGTGTTCTCTGAGTGTTCATTGTTCTATATAGAACTGTATTAAATGCAATATACAAACAATATACCAAAAATGTACTGACAGTATAGAATATGCAATATACACAGTATACAAGCAATAGGCTGACTATACATGGACAAGTAATATATAAACAATGTACATACTATTTACAGACAATACACAGACAATATACAAGCAACATTCAGGTTATGTAGGGGCAAGCAATGTACGCATCTATGTATATATAATGTATGTATATGTCGCTGTTGTTGGGAGAAAACCTCGTATCTCCAAAATGGTAACTTTACAGGAGAAGGAAAAAACCTACTTCACTTTTAATGAAAGTCAATGGAACCAGAATTTTTTCTAAGTCATTTTGGGTCGTTTCTTTTGGTCCATCATCATGAAAATTTACCCATAATGTAAAGGACAACAGGCATTTTCAAATTATGACATAAACTGAAAAACGACAAAAATGGAGATACGAGGTTTTGTTCCGACAGCAGCGATATATATATAATATACATATCGAGTCTGACCAAATCGGCTGTCGGTCAAATGTGATTTTAATAGTATCCATTTTCTGTTTGTGGCAAAGTAAGAAGTAAAAACATTCAAATGGCTTTAGCGTCTCCTACAGCAGTCAAAGTATGCTTAGCAACAGCGTCTCAGCAGAGTGATACAGGGTTCGTGAAAAACCCGTGATGCTATGGTGAAATAACAGCACAGTTAGAACGCCTCTCAATCAGCTTGTGCGGCCAGAACTGTTGTATAAAAAAAAAAAAATATATATATATATATATATATATATATATATATGTGTGTGTGTGTGTGTGTGTGTGTGCACAATGGTATGAGTCTAAAGCAGGGAGTAATAATGGAGAAAAAAGTGTTCAGTCATGTTTCACTTTTTTACTAATAGAAATAATAATAACGATAATAATAAGAGGAAGAGGCAGAAGAGGAAAAAGAAGAAGAAACGTTATCCACTCTGGGAAGTGACGCTGTTGAGTGGGTGTGGCCTACGACAGGTGAACTGCAGGTGAAAGAGAGCCTGCAGGTAAACTGTTCCCTGAAAAGTGAATCATGGTGACGTTTGTTATTATTACTACAACTTCAGTTATCATTGCTGTAACTGTAAGATCAGGCTGATCTGAGTCATCAGTTCACGGCAATGACACCGAAGTGACTGAATTAAACTGGTTTGTATGTTTTGCTGGCATTTTGTTATGGAAGCTAATCTGATGGAATGATGATGTTTTATTACTCTCACATTTTGCTGTTTTTCCTCAAGCACTGTCCCTGATGCCACATCACCTTTAGATTAGACTTTTAGATTAGTAAAGTTTGGTGGAGGAGGGATAATGGGCTGGGGCTGATTTTCAGGGTTTGAGACCCTTAGTTCCAGTGAAGGGTGATGTTGAGTGCTACAGAAGACCAAGACATTATAGTCAGTAATATGCTTCCTAACTTTGTGGGAACAGTTTGGGGAAGAACCTTCTCTGTTCCAGCGTGACTGAGCCCCAGTGCACAGAGCAGCTCCATAAAGTCATGGCTGGGTGAGTTTGGTGTGGAAGAACTTGACTGGCCCTCACAGAGCCCTGACCTCAACCCCATCCAACACCTTTTGGGATGAACTAGAACGGAGATTGTGATCCAGGCCCTCTCGTCCAACATCAGTGTCTGACCTCATAAACGTTCTTCTGGATAAATGGGCTAAAATTCCCACAGACACACACAAAATCATGTGGAAAGCTTCCCAGAAGAGTGGAAGCTGTTATCTATCTCTGTCTCTCAGTTTGTCTGTCTGTATAAATTGATTAAAGATGGTAAATGTGTTATTCATTTTTAGGTCTACAGTGGATAAATCTCTAAGATTTCAGTAACTGAACATTTAGAATAAAAGTGTGGATAATATGAGCTTTTCAGCCTTTCATCTTACCTTACTGATGAAAACGAATAATCCATGGAAGCAAATGAATGGTAGTTTTTAACCTGTTGCTCCTAAACTCTTAAACAGTGTGACAGAGTATATTAGGAATATGAACTCAATAGATTTTTTATGATTGGGATTAAAAACATTAGTTCAGGCTAATATATCCTGGCTCTGTTTCTCCTTATAGAATGTGCCTTAGTGCTTTTATTTCATTTGAATCATGGTGTCTTATCTTTCCAGTCCTGTGTGAGGTTCTTTGAGATTCAAATAAAAAAGCACAAAGAGTATTATTATTGTTTTTAATTTTATTACTATAATAATAAACAGGATATCAGCCCAAAAATCACAAAATATTCCATTATATTCTTTTTTCAGAAGCAGAATGAGACTCTACAGTGACAGTAACAGTAACACTTTCACCTCAGTGCTTCACTTCCCTCTGAAGCTGGTCTCAGTGTGGACCGACACAGGAGATAATGTGTTAACGGCACTGTTACAGTCGCCCCCTCCTCACAGCCACACACCTCAGGTTATTCAATCTCTGAAAGAGGAGAATGAGGCCTGTGTCTGTCCGTCTGTCTGTCTGTCAGTCAGTCCCTCCCTTTCCTCTGTTCAGTCTCCACTGGCCTTCTGCCCCCATTGTAGTTCACTTCCTGTAGCTCAGGGCACTCAGCACTCAGCAGAGAGGCGCTGAAGTACTGTTCTAAAATTACAGCTCCTCTCTCAGCACAGCAACACCGTGCCAACACTGAGCAGCCAGAATCAGTCTGAATGTTTTATTCAGCTATCTGACTGTCTGTTAGGCCACAGATTGATTGATCGATCGATCGATCAATCAATCAATCAATCTACCTACCTATCTATCTATCTATCTATCTATCTATCTATCTGACAATCAACCAATCAACCAATCAATCAACCTATCTATCTATCTATCTATCTATCTATCTATCTATCTATCTATCTATCTATCTATCTATCTATCTATCTATCTATCTCTGTCTGTCTCTGTGTTCATTTGATTTTTGGCCAAACGTGTGTCATTGTACTGATGTGAAAGTTCGGGTACTGTTTCACAATCTTAATCAGTGGAAATATGAGTCAAAAATATGCAAGGGACATATATTTCCATATATGTTTGACAAGTATGGAAATATTAAACATTTTCATTATGACATATTGCAGTGTATGTGCACATATTTAATTATACAAAATATATTAAAGTCATCTATTTAGCACCTGTATAAAACATCACACTTATTGAATATATACATCTAATATGAGCAAATATCTGTACATGTATATTTCTTCTATATGTGATGGGAATTAAACAGTAATTTACACATACTTAAGTGTAAAATAATAAAAAAATGGTTTAAGAGATGTATGAAATGTTCTTGGTTTGGTGGTGTGTGCTGTGTGGTAC